TATGTACAGGGTGAATCATTAAGGGTGGTGACCGGCCGTATCTCATAATATCTTGAAGTAGAAATTTTTTTTGAAAGGAACGTAAAAACAGGTCGATTTATATTTCAAGGCGGACATCTTTATATAATATCTCCAAGTGTCATATATAATTTCTCTCCTCTACGCCAATCTAACCAATACCAAGTATGACACATTATCGGAAAGATAATTTTATGGGGCATTCATCAATATGACTGTTCATTGTGTTCCTTTTAATTTTAGTGCCCTCTAGCGGGATAAAAAATTATTTCCTATGGTAAAATGTGACACTTCATTTGAAAGCTAATTTTTTTAGTATTACAACCAAAGATATTATAAATAAAGACTTTTTGATTTCAATGAATGCGTAACACCTTCAGTTGTACAAAAAAATCTTACAATATGATTTAAGAAAAAAATATTACGATGAGAAAAGTGTTTTTTAAATACAATACGGCACTTCCTTCTTTTGGGCCCGTTGACAGATTATTCTCCTTTGCCACAATTGTCAACGCTCCCAGAATAAGGCATGCACTGTCCGACAGAAATTTTGAGAAACTTGTTATAAAAAGTAACAATGTAAACATTTTATGAATAATTATGACTAGATCTTGCAAAGCAGGCGTCATTACTTTTTCCTGTTTGATAAAAAGTAAAAAATATTAATAATTTTACACCAAATATTTTTCTTACATTCTGTGGTCTACTCTTGTTAAAAAAATATCTTTTAAGGGTATGCCATTTGCAAAAATTAGTTTATACTTTTATGAAGTATCCCAAGCTTAAACGACAAAAATAAAAAGGTATCAATCATATAATTTTTGACAAGAGTTAATTATCGTACCGAATGTAAATAAAATATTTAGTGTTAACTATTTTATCTTTTTGATTAAACGGCCCCAGAGTAATGATGCCCGATTTTTATGGTATGATTAGGTAAAATATAAAAGTACCTATGAGTAGGTACACGAACTTTTATAATTTTGTTCCAAATCAATAAATTTTTAAAGGTTCACATTTTATTATAAACTTACCTTTTCCATTTTTATACTACTTATCGATTTTCTCTTTTCCCTTAAGTTAAGAAGACCTTAAATGTTATAGAAAACAATACACTTAGGGCTGGTTGTATAAAGCTTACTTAAAATTAAGCTCAGTTTTAGGTGATACATCTCAATTTCCGATGCTGTATGTGCAGTTTAATGTTTGGGGAAACAAGTCCTAAATGGTGTTTAGATTGTACCTCTGCCATACAAAATTTGTCATGTGTCACCTCAAACCGAGTTTAACTTTAAGTAAGAATTATCCAACCCGCCCTTAAGATATTTTTAACTTTAAGCACTTGGCGTAATCTATGACTTTGTAAGGAGATCCTTTCGCCACACCTCTCGCCTCAAATGTTAAAAAAAAAGTTATTAGATTATGACTAAAATTAATTTTTTTCTAATAGTTGAAGTCCTTATTTATCTAATACTGAACTTTTAACTATACCTTACCTTGCAAATTTTTGAGATTTTTTTTTAATGTGAATATTTGTACAGTGCCTCACGAGAAAGTAAGTCCTCAACAACAATTCTCGAATTATACTATTATTTATTGATTAGATGGAGTAGAAAAAAAAACTAAAAATAAGGTTTTTGAAATATTTAGATTTTGTTTTATACAATAAAATATATATAGTAAACCGTGGAACTTATTGAGAAATTAATATTAAAAAATCACAAAAAATTTTCAAGTAACCTAGTTGAAAATTTTTTGTGATTTTTTAAAAATAATTTCTCAATAAAATCCACGGTAACCTATATATTTTATTGTAAAAAACAAAACCTAAATATTTCAAAAACCTTATTTTTAGTTTTTTTAAAGACACTGTACAAACACACACCTTTTAAAAAAAAATTCTCAAAAATTTGCACGGTAAGTTATAGTTATAAGTTCACTATTAGATAAATAAGGACATCTACTATTAGAAAAAAATTAATTTTAGTCATAATCTAATATTTTTTATTTAACATTGGTGGCGAAAGGACCTCCTTAATGAATCCATTACTTTTTTCATGTAATTGTAATTAAATCAATACAATTCCTATTTTTACAACATGTACTTTGTACTTGTAATTAATTCCTTTTTTGAAAAAGTAATTTGTAATTGTAATTATTTTTAAAGTACAAGTAATTACCCAGCTCTGGTAGTAACTGCTCTGACTGTTGCTACTATCCAGGTGGGATTTGTACTATACATATATTTAATAAAAGATAGCGGTAATTTTGGATGCGGACGAAAAGAAGAATCAAACTGAAAAGACGCCATATCGGGAAGCAGCAGCAACCTTTCCACCTAAACCTGCTCGAAATCCGAGTCAATTAAAACTCTAAAATAGTTTTATATACAATCCAAAATTTGATTGTTTTCGCATTTATATTTGACGAGTTCCAACACATGACTTTTCACTAGAGTTAAATTTCAGTCAAAAAAAAAAAATACTTTTTATCAAATATCTCCAATAGGATCTATTTTAAAAACTTTATGCAGATCACAAAAATTATAGACAACGATATCAACAAAAACGACTCTGCATAAAGTACTGCCCCAGTTGGTCTGGCTATGCCCAAAGTCTAACTAGATCTTTAGGAGGCCCTGGAAACCCTATGTTCCAAAATCGGCTGAATAGTTTTGGTTGTATCGTCCAAAAAAACGTCCCACACATATTACTATAAATATTGTGTCCACAGATGGACTTATTACTTGTAAAAATATCTTTTTTAATTTCTTTTTTACAAAAATTGTGAATTTGCAACATTAAAAAAGAAACATTTTTAATTTTGCAAATCCACAATTGTATTTTACTGCGCACCATGGACAACAAAATCGAAGTTTCTCAACACGAATCGTATATATTTAATAAACAAAAGAAATTATAAAAACCATTTTTTTATTTTAAGTAAATATTTTACAAGTATTGTGTCCACGGACACACTGTATATGTACATCCAGATATTTTTCAAAATATGTTCTTGGGTTCCTGGAACTTCAAAACATAAAGATATATTATCTCAAATTCGAATTTTGGAGTGATTGCAATAGCCTCCCCATTTTTTCAGGTTGGTTAAAAAATAAAAGATATTGTTTAAATAAGAGTATGATGAAGTGTTTTTATAAATACCTAAGAATGTCTCAAAATCAATTTTTTATACTTCTGACTCGAATTAAAAATAAAATTCATAATAAAACTTTTCTACAATAGTGCAAAGGACAAACTTATGATTTCTTTGAGATAAGATATTAGTTTTTTGTCATCCATAATAATAAAATCAAAAGTTTGTATCGATAATAACTAAAATAGACACATTTTACTTTGCTGTTCCATTTGACACATTCACACTAACCCAATGAACAGACAACGGCACCGATCATCACGTCAAACTAACGTTTTTGATAAACCTTGACGGTCTGTGACGTTACGTTATGTATGTGAATCACATACTTTGATTTTCTTTTACTATACGGAGAATGGTCGCACTGCGCAGCTTTCTGAGTGCCTTTTAAAAGGAGATAGAAAACTCCGCCATTTTGAACCTTTATTACGTGTTGCCTACATCTTGGCGCACTATTTTTAATAATCCGCTTCTGCTTCGGAATTGTCGGTTTTCTTGTTTTAATCTGACAGGTTAAAACCAACGACTAAACCAACAATTCCGGAAGCAGAAGCGGATGATTGAAACGCACCTGATATTTTGCTTGCTGCTGTCAGTGAATATTATTTTTGAAGTCACAGTTTATTGCTAAAAAATCAGTTAGCTCACTCGGAACAGTTGAAAGTTCCAAAATAACATCCACTCCAGGGATACAAATTCAGGATACGCAGAGACTGCTGTTTTATTATAGGCGGTTGTCATATATTGTATTATCCGAGTTGCACAGTGTATAAACTGAAACATTGAGATCAAAAGTGCCGACGCAAAGTGAGCGATCTGATTCTTTAGCTGTAAACTGTGTCACTGGGTTCAAAATGGCCGCGCCCTATGTTGGGCGTGTCGGACCTCTCTCTTGCCTCGTATAGTAATCAAAGTATGTGATGTGAATGTTACCATCAGAAACACATTTAATATTTTGGCGTGACGTTACCGTTGCTTTACGTGACGCTGATGTTCCGTATAGTGCGAATTGGCCATTTTTCACTTCAATTCATACCAAACTATGAATCACTGACGGGACATATCTGTCCCGTCCCAACTCAAAACACAACTGGGGCATACATATTACATATCCAACGTTTTTTCGTATTCTTGGTACAAAAAAAATAAAGTGAATGTTTTCAAATGAAATCTCATATATCAGTGGCAACTCGTATAGCAAAGTGTGGCAACTTTATTACACACACTTGTCAAATAATAGTTTTGGTGTGTTTGAGTTTACAAACCCATCGATATTTATGTCACCACAATAATTAATTTTTGTTTTATAGTAACACAATTTAGCATCTCAACAAATAAAAGAACAATCTCCATCTGGTAACGTGTAGAGTTGAGATAAAACAAAAATCTTTTAAGGCGACACATTAAATTTTTTTCTGAATTTACATGTGTTAAATTATTTATTGAAGAGTTCGAAGTCGACAAACTTTTTCATGTAAGGAGGTAAAAGAAAGTAAAGTTATAGACCTGTAATTACAAAAAAAAAGTTTTAAAAAATCGTTTATGTTCATGTTTTTGCTTTATTTTGTTAATGGTATGCATCAAATACTTTAATTACAACAAAAATAAATAATGTAAAATGCATTTTAATATAGATTACAGTTATATAATTATTATTATTATAAATTTAGAATACTAAAATAATAAGTCTTTAGTTGAACCTGTCAAATCGTTTTATTCACAATACACAAATCAATTATAAAATATCAACTAACAATATATAAAATCATTTGGATAAATAACTGTACAACTTAAAAAAATCAAAGAAAATTGTATATATATAATTATTATATAACAGGTTTGGAATTTTCAAAGCCTTCATTGTCCGATGAATCATAATCACGTTGATATGCATACCACGTATTACTCGAGTTTTCTTTTTTAATCATTATATTCCTTAAGCGCTCACTAGATTTTGAACTTTTCACGTGTGGTTCAGTTTTGATTCTTTTTATTTCACTTTTTACTTGAGGTCTATGAACATACTCTTCATCACTGGACTCATTTCCATTAATACCACCTGAGGTACTGCTTATTTGTGGGGTGTAAGTGTACCTTGAACACGTTGGAGCCTCTGGAATTGTTGGTGGTTCTTCTTTTATACAACTACTCCGAAGATTAGGCAATCTACTACTACTGCTACTACTACCACCACCACCATTTAATTCAGGATTATATTTAGAACAACTTGGTAAATTTATATCGTTTGAAAGATCTTGATCGTTTTCTGATGAATCTTTGGTTGGACTTTTAATGAAATTATTGATGTTTAGAGCTTTGTGACGTAATTTCAATCGCCTTTTATTTAGAAGTAAAGAAAGTGGTATGTCACTATCGGAATCAGGACTGTAACTTTCTGTAGATGAAACAGGACGTCTTTTCATTTTTTTTAATTTCTTCTTTCTCCTATGTCTAAAACAAATAAGAAAATACATGCGTATATTGCTGTAAAAATAACAATTGAATTATGTGTATACAAGTTTTCCTCAAAGCAACTAAGATAATTTTGAGTCAACAAACATGTCTGTTTTTGTTTATTAACTGTTCACAGAACACAGATGTGTTAAAATCAATAAACTGAGAAAGCTTCTTGTTTTGGAAAGATCATGATATATTATTATGCCTAGTCTTTCCTAAAAACAAAATACTTGATTATAGCCAGTGATAACATGTTATGTAACTACAAACAAATATGGTGCTGTAGTGAATTAGAGATATTCTAAGGGACACAGGAGAGGATTATATCCGCTTATGTCATGTCTATTTTATTATTCTCGTTTTGTTGACAAAATTTACATATCTTAAAAAGGCTAAAATAATTCAACCTATTTTATTGCAACTGGACCCAAAAAATTTTGAATCATTAGTTATATCAAATTTAACTAAATTAGATGTAATTTCACTAAATTATAATAATAAATTTCAATAAATTCCAAAACCTAGTTAATGTTAAGTTGGATATCAAGTATTTTGTACTAGATTAAGATTTATTGAACATATAAATTCAATCCCAATAAAATCATCCCAATGCTCAGGGTTAATATTGACTAACTGTTCTGATTTCTCTCTAGAAGCCATAAAGAGTTTATCAAACATTGGTTGTATCTCAGTTGGAGTATGCTTCTATAATTTGTTCGCCACAATATCATATACACTCTCTAGCAGTGGAAAGAATACAAAATAAATTTCTAAGATACTGTGCCCTCAAATGAAATATTCGGGTAACCGATCACAATTATACTAGGATTTTAAATGAAATGAATATGAGCCGACTTTAGTACAGGAGACATATCAGATTTGAATTTTATCTATAGATTATTAAATGGTCTAGTCATATGCCTGGAACTCTTAGAAATGATTTCCTTCAATAATCTTAATTGAGTCCTTAGGCAATTAAATATGTTCCATGTTCCATTTCACAATACAAACTATGGCATGCATTTACCTATTGAAAGAACATTGAGGGTAATAAATCAATTGAATCTTGAGGTTATAGGCATTTGTTTTAATAAATTTAAGGCAATCTGTATGAATGCTCTGGAGTAAAAATGAAATATTACAGACGGATTTATAACACTTAAAATGCATTTATTAATCTAAAACTTATTTGACTTAATTTTAACTTTTTTTTCTCTTATATATATTTTTTTAATTTAATTTATAATTATCTGTATCATTTATATGTGTGCTGCTTTGTGATGAGGTTGATCCCGTTTAAATAAATAAATAGATGTGACAATACGGCTTGCATTGTGTACGTTGTTTATTGTCGGCGTACAACGGCTTACACATATTATTCATTGATAACACTGTTTTATAGGGCCGTTAAATCCTTTTTTTAATGAACTGCAAAATATCAAACATAAACTAATGCTAAATATAAAGAATAATTGTTTAAATTCTGTAGACTAAAATTGTTTTATTAATACACTTTTTATATTTGTATCCTTATGACTGATCCTGTACTTATTGTTTTATGAAATTGTAATTTTTTTTATATCCATTAGTTATTTGTTAATTTTCAAAACGTTAAGATGCACTTGTTTTACACCGGACTTGTTCTATATTATTTGATTATGAACTAATATAGCAATAAAAATTATTATCATCGATCATAATGATATATATCATATACCATATATCAATATATTGATAGTCTAATTATAATACCCCTATCTGCAAAAAAATCAAATTTTCCTTTTTCGTGCCATTCGGTTGTACGTTTACTCTGTCATGAGTTGATATTGGCCTTGTAAATTATTGGCGAAAGAAATTTGACCATATTGCAATCATATTTAGGACTTATAAACTAAAAAAAGCTTCTCATGTAAAATACAGATCCATACAGTTATGGGGTATTATAATTAGACCATCCATATCATATGTAAATTGTGAATTTAATATATCTTAGATCTCAAATCGAAATCCGAAAGGTCAGAATTATCTGAAATGCATTTTTAAAAAATTTGTAAATTCGGAAACAAATCTCAAAAATCCACCTACGAATTATTAAGACCATCCCAGGACCCCAAAGGTGAAAAAAAAAAAAAAAAAAAACTGTCATCGCCGGGAGTCGAATCCAGACTTCCACGTTTTCGAAACGTGTGCCTTTACCATCAGGTTATCAAATACATTGACTGTAGAGATTCCTAACCGGAAATTTTAATTGCTAGTTCTAGACAGACGACGTTTAGGTTATTTCTCAAATCTACAAATACCTCAACAAAAATGCATTTCTGATATACACCGATGCTGTATTGGAGGTATCTGTAGATTTGAGAAATAACCCGAACGTAGTCTGCATTTAGAGCTAGAACTAGCACTTCAAATTTCCGTTTAGGAATCTCGACAGTCAATGTTGGTGATAGCCTGACGGTAAGGGCAAACGTGGAGGCCTAGGTTCGACTCTCGGGGATGACAAGTTTTTTTTTAAGTATTTTTTTTTCACCTTTGGGGTCCGGGGATGGTCTTAATAATTCGTAGGGTGATTTTTGATTTGTTTCCGAATTTTCAAATTATTTAAAAAACTTATTTCAGATAATTCTGACCTTTTATTTGTGATACATTAAATTCACAATTTCATACTCAGGTTTACGTCGCTTAACGTGCATAGAAAACTTAACTCACGCAGAAGATAAGGGCTCAGTATGCATCAAAAATGCCTCCCCATTTATTTTTTTAACCGTAAGTTAGAAATTTGAAATTTTGGGAAACTGAACTAAGGAATGTATACTACCTTTTAATGATATTAGGTGACGTAATCATTAAAAATGGCGGACATAAGCCGTTTTGAAAGATAATTTTAAGTGGATCATATGACAAGTGATACATCATTTGAAAGCTTGTTCCAAACCCTTTCCGATGACATTAATAAAAATAAAAATTTTACTCATAACGAATCCTCTGAATTAAATTTTTAATGCTATCCACTGGCGTACTACAAATTTTTACCCTTTGGCACCGTACTATTTTCGTTTAAAATCAAAGTGTTTTTTTTTATGGGCTCATATCTCAATTTCAAATTTCTAACTTTTACAGTTCAAAAAATAAATGGGGGGAGGGGGGGGGAGTGACTTTAGACCCGCACTGTATACACCGATGATGTATCTTAGATGCTAGCAAACAATCAAATCAATCTTAGCTAGGTTAGTTTTGTTACCTTTCTGTGGACTTCACAAAACTTTCACTGGAACTGGAACTTGACCGATATCGTCTTGACCTTTTCTTGTATCTCTTCTCTCTTTCTTCCTCTCTAGACCTACGTTTGTGTTTGAGGCGCAATTTAAGAGGCATTACGGGCGTCCTGGTTTCTCGTTCGGGTTCAGGACTGTTAACGGTAATTGGAATTAATGCAGGTAATGGAGAGTCATCTGGGACTATTATAGGTTCGTCAGAATCAGATTCTACTAGATCTATCACAACAGGCTCATGTGAGTTGCTACTTCCCACAATTATTACATCACTATCGTTTCCACTTTCAGAAATGTCATCTGTAAAAATCGTTTAGTTATCAAAATGTGTAAACACAAGCTACAAAAATTGACAATTACAAAATGCATGTCATAAATTAATTAAAAATTAAAAAAAAAATAATCTTCCATAGATATATCAACAAAATAATATTTACAATAAATGTATTAAAATGTTATAAATAAACTTTATAAATTATATTCTTTAAATTGCTATAAATAACATTGGAAAAGCTCCGTATTTAATATATTCTATTCTTCTCTTTAAATAATTTTTCTTTGCCAAAAAGCAATATTATAAATATGTAAATTAATTAATTTTGTATTTTTTTCTTAATATGTACTAGAAATCCGTAAATAAATAAAATAAATTAAAACAAGAAATTATCTAAGTCATGGGTCACATAAATTTTATTTTGTGAAATATTTATTATTTATTTTATGTTTTAATCACATTTTAGTTTGTTATTATTTTCCTTTTTTTAATAAATGTATTCCTAGTATTTTTGGATGTTTTTTACACTAACCTGGCACACTAACCACGTGTGGAGATTGTGGTCTATCTGAATATATCACATGTCGATCATAACCTACCATATCAAAAGGTGATCTCATGAAATTGAAAAATTCATGGATAAAATGGTCTGTCTTGTTATCCAGATATTCAAAAAGTAAATTTCGAAATGCTCTACTACAAATGTGTCGATGGAGCAGATGATCCATAATGATGTCCACCAGCCTCATTACTAATTGTGTATTTTCATAAAGTATAGCATTTAGTTCTCGATTCAACCAAGGAACAAGTCTTGTGCGGGCAGCAGGAAAACTCCTATAAAATCATTATTTAATTAAAATATACCCAAAAATAAAAAGTTAATGTTTTATTATTTCAATTATAATTTAAAAAAGCGGCAAAGTGCAAGTAGCACTCGCGCGTCCATACCGTAATTGTTTCAACATAGGTAAAATTGCTACGCTGATAGATTTAGGCCAGGAAATGATACAAAGTCTTGTAGATTTTTCTTTAAAAAAAGTCTAATGGAATTTTGGTAATTTTCGTTCAATTTACACCTTATTCTCAATGTTCGTAGTATACATTTTTATAATCGTGCTTCAAAAAGCTTCCATTTGATACCTCCACATGATAGTATGATAATTTTTGTCTAATTTCCAATTTAACCCTTCAAAATGTTAAATGTAATGTTATATATAATATGTAATAATCTTGTAATCTCCAGGGTTTCAACATATTACAGTGAGATGTGTGTTATTCTAAAAAGAATCTACCTATACAATTTTGAGTAGTTTTGGAAGATGAAGGATTTGCACGCTTTCTTAAATGAATATTGTTTGCTAATTAATTTGATCTCAAGAGGTAAAGCATTGTAACACTTTGATCCTAAGTAATTTATACAATTCTTGAAAGATTCACTATTAGGCATAGATATTTTAATATTCAAGTAACTAAAGGTTCTGGTTTTGTGTTGATGACCCAGAGGTTCTTTTAGTACCTCATGTTTTTGTATGTAACAGCATTTTATGTTCATGTATAAACTTCTAACATTAGATATTGTTTCATTATATAGTAGAGTAGTAGGATATAATCGCTGTTTGTTAAACCATTACTTACTACAACTGTTTCAAATTTCAATTGTGTAGTCAAATAGTTCCTGAGTAAAATACATATGATAGACAGAGGCAGACAGACAAATAGAGAGACAGACTGACAGACACCACAGTGATTCAATAAGTGCTCTGTTTTGACAATGAGTACAAAAAATCCAAATACCTATAAAAAAAATTTATCTACAAATATGCAGACGCCTTTAAGCAACTGGCGAAAAACAACAAGGTTACTGTCTAGATTTATACCCTGCATATTTGACATATTTTGGTAATTGAATTTTGTATAAACTTCTTACTCTTTAACTCCCAACTATCAAGCTGTTCAATTTGGTACTTCGGAACACACATGGTTTTTAAATTAGACTCTTTGCATTATTACTATTTAAGGGTTATTAATCCAAGTTATAATCACTACAACAAGTTAGGTAAGCCACATATTATATTCCTAGATAATTATCACTGTCAGATTCTTGCACAACTGGCCTCAATTATTGGGCAACATTGCCACATATCAAACTAAAAGGTTTTAAAATTGAAACACCAAGACTTAATTATAAAAAAATACACCGGGTGTTCAAATTAAAGTGTTACAGTTAAATACCGCCGAAAATATGCATTTTATAAAAAAAAGTTTTATAGCTTTTTGAGGAAAACATTTTGTTTATTTTTTTTTATAGCTGGCCATAATATGGCCATATCGAGGTGGACTTTTTTTTTCAAATTGGAACCCCATTTTTTTACATATTCTTAAAGTTCATAAAAAAATAAGAAACTTTTAAAGGAAACATTTTTTTTATTAGATTTCTACTTATTGAGTAACACCTACTTGAAAATTTTGCAGTCCAAAAAAAAGTTGGCCATATTATGGTTAGCTATAAAAAACGATTTTAGGCAAAATGTTTTCCCTAAAAACTATAAAACTTTCGTCTAAAACGTTTTTTTTAATAAAAGGCGGTATTTAACTAACACTTTAATTTGAACACCCAGTATATGAATAAAACCTATATTTATATGTATATGTGAATATCTATCAATTTATTAAATAAAAAAAAATGAGAATTCTCCATTATATATATTCCTATTGAGTAATAATTTCTACAAGAGCCAGCTTATATAGAAAACCATTTATATAATATTTACCTGAAAAATGATGGCGACACATCTCTATATCTTCCTGTAACATCAGGTGGGGCTATAACCCATAAGTTTCTAATATAGACAGAACGTCGGAAACTGGTGGTTGTTGAAGGTTCTCGTCGCCTTCTATGATAAATATTTCTATAGAAAATAAAACTTGGAAAAACATCAATTTTTTTAACATGAAAGTAAATTACCTTGGGGGTGCATATCCACTGGTACTGACTGATATTTGTGGATGTGTTAACAACATTTGTTGAATAGCATGTTCTCCATGAGTATCAACTGTAAATGTGGTTCTGGAAATAAAAATATTGATTATTTTTAGTAATACATTTTTTTTTGTGAGAATATTGTTACTAGTCATTATTGACGAACCTACAATTTTAACCTAAAAATCTTATGAACTAATTACTTATCTAAAAAGTCCCCATTAATTGATTCTATAGGAAAGCATCACAAGTTGGCGTGACAATTTATTACACTGTTTTACACTAGCACTAACATTAACGTTCACTAAACTAGCTCAAAAGGCTTCTTCCTTTTGAGCATTCTGTTAAGTGTAGAGTTGTCCAGATATTTTGCTTGCTTCTTCATTGATGTGGGAATGGAATTGACCTTCATGTTCCGCAGCAACCTCTTTATTTCTTCTTCGATTGTTGGCATCTTCAGGTCTCTATGAAGATAATCGTTTCGATAGAACTAAAGTGAATCAACGCTAGGATTTTATTTTGGAAAACGTGTATCATGTTGATATTACTCTTGCTGGCACATTCCCATATCTGTATGCCATAAATCCAGATTGGTTTTAGGATTTGTTTATAAATCAGCACTTTGTTGTACACTGGCAATTTGGATTTTCTTTCTAGAAGCTAATACATTATTTGAATTTAAGTTCAAGTTCTTTAGGCTATTTTTTTTTAATGTGCTTCTTTCCATTTGAGTCGTACATCTAGGTTCATCCCTAGGTATTTGGTCGAATCGTGATGCTGAATAACATTATTGTTTATTATTTGTTTTTGTTCATTTGGTCAAAAAATAAAATGAACATGCATTGATATAGATTGATTTATTTTTATTTTCCACTTTTTTGTCCATCGATTGATTCTGTTGCAGGTTTCCTGGAGTTATTCTGAAGTCTCTGTATTAGTTCTGCCTCTTCTTGCTTTACTCCAAACATTTTTCCCATTAGATATGATTGAAGAATGTCCACATATTGTCTAGGGAGTATTTTCTCAAGTTTCTGCATCAGGCCAGCATGCCGAACCTTGTCAAATGCTTGGGGCTAAGTTAAGAAATATAGCTAAGCATATACATTGTTTCGTAAGCTTTTTTTGATATCAGTTATCCTGTGTACTTGATTTATTGTGGAGTGTTTGTTTCTAAAACCAAATTTTTGCAAAGGGATCAGGTTTTTATTTTTAATTATTGGTTTTAGTCTTAGCTTTTCAAATAACTTAGATATTATTGGTAACAATGATGTAGGTCTATATGGATGAAACTTCATTTGAAGATTTTCCCGGCTTACGAATTAGGATAACTTCAGCCACTTTCCACGCATCTGGTATATATTTAAGGCAAAATGCTGCATTTATGAGGTAGGTCAATTTAACGATAGCCTTCCCTGGCAGTTTCTGTAATATTTCCCCATTAATAAGATCATATCCTTGAGCTTTCTGTCCGAATTTCTTTCGCAACTTCATTGAATGTAACTAACTTAATTTCAAGTTGTTTCATCGTTTCGTTAGGAGTGTCTTGATTTTCATCTAATAGATACATAGATATTTATTGAAGTAGGATAAACCTAATATACAAAAAAAAAAATACAAATACAGTACACTTAAAACTTAAAGATAATTATTATTAACATTAAAATATTCTGAGTTAAGAAAAATAAAGTTGTTACACATTACAAAGATACTTTTAATCTTGAGTTTAGACAGCCTTAATTAACAATCAAACAAATAACAGTTGAAAGCATGAACCCAAATATTAAAAAAGAAGAATAAAAAAGTAAAATAAAAAAGTAATAATCAAATATATAAAAGTTAAAATCAAATTATATCAGTTTTAATAAAAGTTGTCAATTTTTTTTAAAACTTGCTAATGAATTACAATCCTTCAAGCCCCTGGGCAGTTCATTATATTCTTGGAAACCTTTATACAATAACGATGCCTGTGATTTCAAATAATTAGATTTTTTAATGTACATATCATTAGATGATCTTGTGCTGTAATCATGAATATCCCTATGAAAGTAGGATGGAGCCAAAGAATGAATTATTTTATTGGAACATCTTTTGGAGGTGGTCAGCGAAAATATCAACTTTCTGTTGTCTCTTGCCCATTTTTTATCTGCTATTCTGATAGGACAGTGTTTACATGAATTTTTCAACTTTTTAGTTGCCTTCTGGAGCAAATAATCCATTTCTTTATTATTTGTTAGCCCGATTAGATATCTGTTAAAAGATTCTTCTTCTCAGTCTTTGGGTAGCCCTATATAATATATTTTTTTAATGTCTGGCGATCTTGTCATCTGCCATTTCTTTCTTAGCTTTCTTTTTTCTGCTACCAGTTCTCTTATCTTGACGGAATAGTTTTTTTCCAGCTGTTAATCTTCTTACTTTTTGTGTGTTCCTCCATGCAGCTTGCTGGATTTCAACTATAAACCTTTCTAGTTCTTTATCTAGCTGATTTTTCGTTTTTAATGTTATGGTCAGTTGAATAGTATTTGTTAGCAGCATGAATAGGGGCAATGATTTTTTTTTTATTTAGATTATGAATGTTATCCTCGGTTAATTCTATTTCCTTCTTTACATTTGAATCCTTGACTTTGCAAGTCTTCAACAATATCTTCAGGTTTAGATGTAGATGGTAGACCTCTACCATTACTTTGTTTTGTTTAAGTTTATGGGAATGCCAATTTATGTCTTTGGCATTCAAGGTCATTAGCTCGAGTCTTCTTGTTTAGTATTAATTTTAAATTGGTTATTGCTTAGAGCTGTGGCTTGAAAGGAAATATTATTTTCCGCCAGAGTATGGTGCAAGTTTTCATACTTATTGATATTGCTTGCTATTATCAGGGGAAGTTTCAGTGTTTCTTTTTCAACTATTTCTTTCTCTTGTTGTAGATTTTTGCCACATCCAGGTTGGCCAGGAGAGGAGTTGGCTTTATGTTTTTTTTTCTATTGTTTCTGCTTTCTGGTGTTATCCAGTCTACTTCTTTGTTAATGTGATCACCAATTTCTCTTGCCAGTTCTTCTTCATCAGTCTCGACTTTTAGATTTTTCTTTGTTCAAGATATTAATTTGTTTTTGTATATTTTCATAGTTTCTGTTTTTCAACTTTTTCATGTATACACCTGCGCATTCTGAATGTTAGCTTGATTTTCCTGAAATAAGGATTGATACTGTTGGGCCAGGAGATCTTTCCTACTTCCATTGTTTCCATATTATTTGTTTGATTTACCTGAATCAGGTCCTGTTTTTTTGCTCCAAAAGCACTTCAGCAGGTGTAGATTTATTTATTTCTACACATTGTAAAACTATTATTTACAGTACATATGCCAAAGAAACTGACCTAGTTAATAAACATACATCCTCACGTATCGACAGCTGAATATAAACTGTAATACATCAACGTCAATTAGCATTATGAACTAAGGAGATTGTTTTTGTCAGAAACAATCTTGTGTGTGTAATGATAACCCTTTCAATGCGATGTACTCTAACAGGTGTATCTAATAGACATCATCAGCAGTAAAGCAACTAAATACATTTTTTAGTGATAAAATTTGTTTTATCATTATCATTTAATTTGATTTTTTGTATTACTTTATTATTTAAATTATTAATCCATTTTAGATTCAGTTAGATTTGGTTCAAAAAATAAATTAATAATCTTTAGCAAACTTTATTACATATAAACTCAAGCAAAACTAATAACAAAAACAAGCAAAAGATTTGACTTGAATACTGTCGTCATAAGCAAAACCCCTGTAACTATGCGAATTTTGATCAGTAGTACCAATATAACTGCATTTGTTGAATTAAAGACAATTTTTGGATAATGCTTTTAACTAGTTAAAAATAAGTTTTATCTAATTTTTGATGTTGGCTTGTTGGTTAAAAGGTTTTTGCTAAGCCTGTTCTACAAAAATGTTAGTAACTGTGTAGAATCAATTGGATTTTTTAGGATACTGAATAAATAATACCAGAATTTTGCCTATTTATTAAGAAAAAAGTGTTAGTATCAAAATGGTCAAATAACCTCAAATATTTGCAATTTGTCAGTTACCATGATTTGGCTTATGACGGCAGTATAGAACCTACCAGAATAAAAAAAAAACAAAATAGTTGTTTTTTATTTCGTATGTTTATGAAAATGTATCTCACTCATATACTCCCAATAAGATTGATGTACTAAATATGAAAAAATTAAGCCCTGAGTCATAGTAGGGTATACTGTTTTGGTTATACTCAAAAATTTGGCTACAGCAGTGAATCAAGTAGTATTTTCTCACCTAGTGCACGAAAAAAAGATGCATATACATGGAATCCGCAGTGAAAGGGTTAAAATACCTAAACTTTAAAATTAAAAGAGATAATGCACAAAGTAGCAATTATCCCACAAAGAATAAAAATAGAATTGTTTTAGTTACTTTTTTAAGGAATCAATGAAAATGAAAAAAAAAAAAAAAAACGATTTTCTATTGAAAAAAGATGTGTGTGGTTGGTTTTTTTTGGATCAGTGCCTTTTGAAAAAAGATACAAAACAAAATTATTGTTGCTTATTAGTTAGTTAAGTTTTACATTGTTAAGTTTTTCTAGCACATAGATACATACATAAAGGCAGCCATTCTGATTTAAATTCATATATGTATAGCTCAGACCAACCTTATGTAATATCTAGTAGAAGTCTTTATTTCATACAACAAATGTTAACTATTCACTTGACGTCAAGACAAGTAAAGTATTTACTTCGGTAAAGTTGTAGGAAATGTATGTACATGCTGTATGGGCATGTAAGTTTATCCAATTATTTTATGCAAAGTAGCCAGATTGATTAATATAAAATTAATGAATAATATCACATAAGTACAATTATTATAAATAGTTAAAAAATATTTACTGGTTACTGAAGGTATTCCATTGAACACCATAATTTTTCATTCAGTAGCTTGGAGGGATGTGCTTATACTGTATAGGTGGCTAAATAAATAATAAATGAATTGGAAAAATGATTTATAAATAATAAAAATGAAAACTAATAATTACTGACTCAATAAAGAATGAATATTGTTCATGTATAATGAATTGACATTCATAAATGCCACCGTCCATCATTTATTTAATATCAATCATCTGAAATAATTATTTAACGTTTCCGCCCATTTAAATGATGTGCAAAATTACAATAAAAAAAAACCCTTCATAATAATTAATAACACACACAAAACCACAAACAATTAAAAAGAACAACACACAATTGAAAGTATTTTTGAATATTATAACAATGCTCTCAAATATTTGAATGTTTACATATGGCCCCCAAAGGGAAAAAATCACTAAGGTCAAAACGTACCTGTATTTCAGAAAACATCTAAAAATATTTTATGTAATTTTGGTGATTTTCACTGAAAATCCACCCTAATTTTATATGATGACTTTTTTTTTTTACTTTTCCTTGTGTTCTGATCCACAAGCTGCTGAATTTACGTTTTTGAACGAGAATTTAATTGCGACCAGTATTTCGGTAGTGGTTTATCCCTCATAAATACCTTTCCTACAACTTTACCTTTACTTTTGAAAGCAAGTAATATATATTTTTATTATTCAATTACCAACAAGTAGTATTAACTAAAAAATGGTAAGTAAAGATATTTACTTGTTTTTATTCACTTATTTCAAGGAAATTAAATTACTTTGTGTTATCAGAAAAGAAAATGAAATTTTACATCACAAGATGTACCTCATTTCTTAGAGTTGACAAAATATAGTTCTGTTGTATTAGCTACAGAAAAAATATTGAGAATAAAAAGTTATACCTACCTAAAATGAAAATGGTGCCTGGTTGATTGTTGTGGCTGCCCAAGAGGTAAATATAAATATTCTTCATTGTCTATTATATGGACTTCTTCAGGTGGTGTAATTTCAACAACATGTTCATCATATTCTTCATTGCTCTTGACATTATGAATGATTCTTGTAAAAGGTTGTTTACAAAGAGGACATTCAGGTTTGATCTATATAAAATAAAACAAATTAATGTTTCCAATAAATACATAAATAATTAAAATACCTTACCTTAGACCACTCTAGAAGACATTTGAAACAAAATTGATGCATACATGAATCGGAAAAGCACTTATTGGAGAAAGCCCCCAAACAAATTGCACAATTTGGAGGCGGACTTGAAGAGCTTGGACACCTTACAATCACTTTACTCTCCGCCATAATTACTGATTAAATTTTCACTAAACAGAAACTAAAAAAATATTGATTCCGAAAAATGTACTTTTGACTATTTGTCATAACTCTTTGACCTTGTTGGCATTCAATACATAAGACTTAATTAAATTTCAAAAATACTTTACGATCGTTCTACCTACGAAGAATGGAATAATTACAGATAATATACATATGTTTATACTTATTAAGACAAAGAAATATATTAAAAAATTAAACTACTGGAAAAAAACCCATCCGCCATGACACTTCAATTCAAAACAGATATATCAGAATTCAGAATCAGAAATGCGATCGGATAAAACATGGATAGAACCGCAGATCACAGCACAGAACACTTACTCTGATCACAGAACACTCACTCTCACAAGATAACAGAACACAGAACACTTACTCTGGATTTGTTTTGGTTCACGTTCTAGAATTAGGCAGCATTCCAAAGACTTGTCAAACAATTAGGCATTCCAACGACCTGTCAAACAATAGGTGCCAGTGGGAAATTCTTGTATATTTAAGGGGGTAGCGACATAGTCTTGCAACTTGGACGCTATTTTTATTCGAAGTAGTACTCGCCAAGCCTGCCAATTTATGAAGAAATGTATAGGTGGGTTTTTTAAATATTATTTTTATTCTGTTTGATATAAAATATTTAAATGTAATCCATTATTCATGATTTTACGTAAAGTAGATAGAATACACCATATGTCGCCACCCTTAGATATACCAAACCTGCCCACTGGTAATTCATTTGTTTGGAATGCCTAATAGGTGCCAGTGGGAAATTCTTGTATATTTAAGGGGGTAGCGACATAGTCTTGCAACTTGGAAGCTATTTTTATTCGAAGTAGTACTCGCCAAGCCTGCCAATTTATGAAAAAATGTATAGGTGGGTTTTTTAAATATTATTTTTATTGTGTTTGACATAAAATATTTAAATGTATTCCATTATTCATGATTTTACGTAAAGTAGATAGAATACACCATATGTCGCCACCCTTAGATATACCAAACCTGCCCACTGGTAATTCATTTGTTTGGAATGCCTGATTGTTCCAGAACCATGCGCAGAACTGTTGCGCAATGGTCCTTAATTCTGAACTATGGACCCAGTCACATACTTTGATTTTCTTTTACTATACGGAGAATGGTCGCACTGCGCAGCTTTCTGAGTGCCTTTTAAAAGGAGATAGAAAACTCCGCTATTTTGAACCCTTATTACGTGTTGCCTACATCTTGGCGCAATATTTTTAATAGGTGCGTTTTAATCATCCGCTTCTGCTTCGGAATTGTCGGTTTTCTTGTTTTAATCTGACAGGTTAAAACGACTAAACCGACAATTCCGGAAGCAGAAGCGGATGATTAAAACGCACCTGATATTTTGCTTGCTGCTGTCAGTGTCAATGAATATTAGGCATTCCAAACAAATGAATTACCAGTGGGCAGGTTTGGTATATCTAAGGGTGGCGACATATGGTGTATTCTATCTACTTTACGTAAAATCTTGAATAATGGATAACATTTAAATATTTTATGTCAAACACAATAAAAATAATATTTAAAAAACCCACCTATACATTTCTTCATAAATTGGCAGGCTTGGCGACTACTACTTCGAATAAAAATAGCGTCCAAGTTGCAAGATTATGTCGCTACCCCCTTAGATATACAAGAATTTCCCACTGGCACCTATTGTTTGACAGGTCGTTGGAATGCCTAATTATTTTTGAAGTCACAGTTTATTGCTAAAGAATAAGTTAGCTCACTCGGACCAGTTGAAAGTTCCAAAATAACATCCACTCCAGGGATACAAATTCAGGATACGCAGAAGACTGCTGTTTTATTGTAGGCGGTTGTCATATATTGGGTGGTATGATTGTACGTTTACGTTATCCGTAACGTACATGTTAGGCCGAGTTTTAACAGCATAAAGACAAATTCGTATGATGTAAAGTCTTTCATAACACATTTACTGTTATTTTCCGCCTGTTATGTTCTAATTTAACAGGTTTCCATCATACGAACTTGCCTAGTTACTTTTAAAATTCGGCCTAACATGTACGTTACGGATAACGTAAACGTTCAATCATAGGACCCATTGTATTAGCCGAGTTGCACAGTGTATAAACTGAAACATTGAGATCCAAAGTGCCGACGCAGAGTGAGCGATCTGATTCTTTAGCTATAAACTGTGTCATAGGGTTCAAAATGGCCGCGCCCTATGTTAGGAGGAAGTAAATTATGGTAACTAAGGTGGTGTAACTGGTGTAATTTACACTGGTGGACACTACACCAATAGCGAACGAAAGAACCTAATAGGTCTGTTCTGGTTTTGAGAAATAACGATCCACAACTGTCGGGCTCATGCGCAGTAGATAAAAAGTGTTCTGGTTTTTCTGGGACTACTTCGGATCTCTCAGTCCAGTGTTCTGGTTTCGTATCCGAAATAATCCGTGATTGTTGTAAACAGTCAAAAAGTGTTCATGCTTGGGAGTGTGGATCGACTCGGACTGTTTTGACCGCGCATGCGTTTTTGAAGTGTTATGAATATTGTATTGGCTTTTTAGACCATACGAAACGTATACAATCCCAAATTGTTTATTTATATGTGGACGAATGTCTCTTGTTCTTGTTTTATTTGTAAATTAAAGCAATTTTAGAATTATTAATTTTTTAATATTCTGTTTTTATTTATTCCATTGAAATGTGATGATAATGATAAACATATACATGCAAATATTATTTGAAGCTGAGCTATCAAAAGGAACTTCATTATTATAATAAACAATAAACAAAACACCTTTATGACGTGTTCTGGTTTTCCAAGGATTTTTTGCCTTTACGCATACGGTCCGGCGCAGTTTCAAAACAGTTTTCATTTTGAGAACCAGAACAAACCTAATGTTTGTGAAAAATAATATTTACTGACACTGACAGCAGCAAGCAAAATATCAGGTGCGTTTTAGGGTCTATTTATACTCCCTTAGTATTAGTATTTGTATTAGTATTATGATTAAGCATTAAATTTGTTAAATCATTCAAAAAAGGTATTTATACTCGTTTTATAATTAGTATTAGTAAATGGGTCCTATGATTGAACGTTTATGTTATCCATAACGTACATGTTAGGTCGAATTTTAACAGTAACGAAGCAAGTTTGTATGATGGAAAACTGTTAAATTAGAACATAACAGAAGGAAAATAACAGTAATGTGTTGGAAACCGTTTTTCATCATACGAACTTGCCTAATTACTGTTAAAACTGAGCCTAACATGTACGTTACGGATAACGTAAACGTTCAATCATAGGACCCATTCTTTTTTAAACATAATACCTAATAAGATATAATTCTGCAGTCAACAAAATATATGGTTACTGAAGAAATGTGTAAGAGGCCGATTGTGTTCTTTTTAAGATATTTTAGTTTTAAAGGTGATTTTATTAATATTTTTACTAGTTAATTTTATCTAAAAATATTATTATTCAAAAATAGGTTTAATTAAGGACATTTTAACGGATTTAAGTCTCAAATTTATAACAGATAAAAAGAAGCAGAAATTTGATACAAATCAGACAGAAAAGAGGCCTTTGCTTCCTCATGGTGACATGTCATTTGTCAACTTTATAATCGGTAAACACTGCTGATACACAAAAATTGTATACAGAGCACAATATATCCCCTATAGTAATGTAACTGGGGCCCAATTCTCGAAACATGCGTTAACTGCCGCATGCGCTAAGTAACGCATGGTCGTTAACGCACACGACAGCAATTTAGTATTCCTGAACACCATGCGATAATCGCGAATCAAGTCGAACGTGTTAACGAAGAGTCTTTGATTATTGCATAGTCTTAACCAATGAGGATTGAGAATACCAAAGATGGTATAACTGAATATGAGATAATTGCATTGACATATGTCAAAATTGCCAAAAATGCAAAAATTATAAAATTAAATGGATTGCAGATGTCTAATAATTTTTGGTTTTTGGATGTTTTAACTGTGATTATTTACATTTTGGACTTGAGAATTGGAGTGGTTTAGATTTAGAATATTAAAAATGGAACAGCGTGGTTCACGAATAACGGAAAAATTGCGTGAAACTTTAGTAGAATTTATAACATTGTTTAGTGCCTGTAAAACTCATATTTCTTCTATATCATCCATACTAAATAAAATAAATCAAAATAAAGTGGCACCTAAACGTCCAATAAAAGAGTTCACGGTACAAAAAGTTTCATAATTTATATTCTAATAAAATGTTCAATAGAGTCAAATTAAAAATAAATATTTCCCAATAATAAATCACAAAACAAAACCAATAGATAGAAACCAGAAACACGAATCACATATGATAAAGCTGGATTAATTGACAATTATAACCTTACTTTCACCTAAACGAATGCGACAAAGTAGTTGTCGAACGGTCATGAGCGCTCTTTGAAAATCATCATTTCTTAGCGCATACGTTAATAAATTTGACGAATGCCGCCAGTTCAGGAATACACTTTCATCAAGTCGCATACGTTATCGCATGCGATAAGTTAACGAAGGCGTCAGGAATTGGGCCCCTGGGATTCAAGAAATGGCTTTGAGTTACGCTGCGGCCAGACACAGGTCTCATGGCGCTAGTATCGTTATTGATTTTTGACTTCGGCACGTTCATTGGTTGACGACGAATTCAAAACAATCTGATCGGAGCGTTACTCACTCCCACTCCTTCTCTTTGTTTAGATACTTATAAAAGAAAGAGATACTAGTTAATAATTTCTATTTCGAATCATCTTTCATTCTTTAGCGTTGCGTTTTTATAAGTGAAGCGTGAAGTGTCAGTGTTGACAAGTGATAATTTTTTGATTTTTTCTTCTACGAAATTTAATATTAATTTTGTTTCAGCGATATTTATTGTGATTTGTGTTGTTGTATTAAGTGCTTTCTTATTTAATATGGGAAACAAAACGTACAACAAACTCAGAAAAAGAGGAATCGAGGAGGGATTGCTATCTATGGCTGTCATCCAAGGGTCTGCGCCCTAGATAATACTTTTCCAGTGGGAAAAGCCTTTAAAATTCAAGTATAACAATTTTATGTTTCCGTTTTCCCTTCTTTTAATGTAGGTGCAAATTTTGAGGTAAGTTTGTAATAATTTTTCAGTTAATACCTACCCTCTTAATATTATAATTTAACTATGATCTTATGCTTTCCTATGGACACGATTCAAGGAGGGAGTCCTATGGCTGTCATCCAAGCCCTAGATAATAGTTTTCCAGTGGCAACAGCCTTTAAAATTCAAGTATAATAATTTACTTTTTTCGAAGTAGATGTCCATTTAAACTAAATTTTTTTATTTCACTTATTGATTTTAGCATTTATATATAGTATCGGCTAATGAACACTTTCCAATACGCTTGGCTAGAATCGAAAATAAAACTAAAGAGTTAGCGCATTAGTTCGATCAGGAAACGAATAATATGAATGTTGCCTTGTGTGCTGTGTAATATGAACAGGCACACGGTGTGATGCATCCCCACGTAGCCGGCTGGCTACGTTCATAGTATTCTATTCCTTCTCCCACTAATGCTAACTCTTTGTAGTTTTTACTTGGACATTAGCAAAACGTATTGTACAACATTCGATAGCTGCCACTGTATTACTCTTAATAACTAAATGATTTCATTTAATAGTTTCTTTTTTTTTTTCAGTAAAATGGATATGGCTAGAGTTATCTTCGTCTTTAAAATATATTAAATAAGTTTTATAATTTTTCAAATAAAATACTTTATACAATTTTTTGTTTTTTTACCAGAGCCAATTTTTTTTCAGATCTAACCTCTATAGGTAAAAAATAAGTGATTTAGGTAAAATTGAAAAGTATATTACATGTTCTTTTAAATGTGTTGTTAATCCAAATGCTGCTCTTATTGTAATAGCTAATAATAAAAGAATTAGTATTATTTTTAGCTATCAAAATAAAAATAGCGCCTGGATTTACAGCTCGTTTAATCGAACATGCAATATACTTCTCAATAATTATTGCCGAATGAATATATTTAAAAATTCCCGCCATTCCGCGGCTGAAAATTTACAATTTTGGCGGGAAATTTAAATTTCGCCTTTAAATTATATTTGAATTTACCGCCATATCGAGTTAGTTGAGCGGCCAGACACAGACGCATTCTTGCGCTGCAAACTTAGTGCCAACTCTTTAACAAGTGAGATGCACTACTATAGGGGATATATTGTGATACAGAGCATGATTTGTACCGAAATATTATCGTTTTCGAGCTTGTTGGAACAAACAAATAAACAAAATAATCATATGTGTGTTGTCAATTATCCTTATCCGTTGTCTATTAAAAACAAAGGCCAAATACTCCATTGATTCATTTTATAGAAAAGAAGAAATTTAATATTTAATTTAAAAGTTGAACCTGTCAATTATTAAGCATAAATATTAATGCTAATACTAATCATAAATCGAGTATAAATGTCCCCATTACATTGTGAAGGTTCAACTTAATGCTTAATCATAATACTAATGCAAATACTAATAATAAGGGAGTATAAATAGACCCTTAAGGGTCTATTTATACTCCCTTATGCTGCGTTTGAGAATCCACATCGGATGCATCTGAGATGTAAAAAATCTTTGATCACGTGATCCAGTATACGTAAATGTAATGGGACAGATGTGTCAGAT